TTTTAACTGTTATATTATACAGAAATACATATATTAGGTCATTCTTTTATCGTCTGAGCTAGCTCACTCGCAAAAATGCGTAGAAAACTATAGTTTTAGATACATTATTTCTGTTTACTAAAAGGGATGTAAACACCAAGCAAAGTTGGAGTTAATTTCTAATTGTGAAATGTCTACTATTAAACAAAAGTTTCAAAGAAACAAACTAAAAAAATTGAGTTAACTTAGCAGAGAAGCCACATATATAGAGAAGATTATCAGTCCTTACATAGAGAAATTCAAAAAGATGTACCTAATTTATGGATAATCTACCAATCTGAGTAGCTTCCATAGTTTGCATAGATATTATTCCCTTTTAGCTGGATATCTATCGACGCGATATGTATGTCACAGATGCTATATTATGGAATACTCCGAAACACTATTCTTCTTTTTTCTGGTCTTCATTTGGGCTCGCTGGGCCGTAAGATTATGAGATCTCGATTCCTCCAAGTGAATTTGTTCGACTATAGCGTCGAAGCGAAGCATACGCTTTTCTCCTTTCCTTCGGTACATTATTAACCTGCGCGATAGTTGCTGGCACTGGCATATATATGTGGAGAATCATTCGTTCTTTCACTCTTTTGTGTAAGTTCTTCCACTTGAAAAATCCTATTTCTACTTGCCCCTTTTTGGAATAATTCTTGCATCGAATTCTTTCTTCGCAAAGGTCTCTAAAGATTCTCTCAATTCAGCAACCTCCTTTTTGCAATTGTCCAAGAAATTCACAAATTCCTGTTTGGTCAAGTCATCTTTCATGATGAAGCTGTTGAAAAGTTCATTGTAGTGTCCTTCCTCCTTTGTTAATACATCAAAACATCTGGACATTACTCTATTCCAATGAGTGAGATCAAGTTTTTCTGTTACCTGATATCTTTCTTTCAACTCCTCTTAATATTTGAATAAAGCACTTATCATTTTGCAAACGGTCAGTATTTCAAGAGCATATGGGTGCTTCCACATTTTGATAATCTCATTCCCTGAGGGTACCTGCTCCATATTATTCATCGGTTGTTCTACTTCTCCTTTTGTCACACCGCTAGTAAGTATAACTTCAGCTTGTTCCAATCTAGACGAGCTAATATTACATAAGTCACTCTTCTCTTCATATCTTTGTTCAACAATTCGATCTGAATGTAAAGCGTCCTCCTCATTTTCACCTAAATCCATTTCATCATGCGCGGATAGCACATTATCATCGGATTCTGAATCGGGCGAATTTAGATTTCCATCTGAGTTGTTTCTTCTGAAACCTCCATTTTCATTTAACTCTGATAAATTCCTTCTTTGTAATTGCGGCATCACATTCCTGTCCAACGGCGTTAAGTTCTGGGAGGAATTTTTAAAGAGCGTTTACAAAGACAGGTGTTGTATACATTACGCATCTGTATAATATTTATAGTTTATATGTATGCACCGTTCTCTGCATTTAAGCATCTGGAAGATGGGTATAGAGAATTCTATGTAAGAGCATAATGAAAGATTGCAACAGAGTGCGTATTATTTATTCGAGAAATGTTTACTCCATATAGCTTACTAGTAGCAACATATAAAAAGCGACAACCGAAAGTTCAACCAAACACGAGTGAAAAAAGGATCTTCGCGAGTTAAGACCATGTGAGCTCCCCTCCGCAACCCAACTCGTTCAAAAGCATCCTTCCTTTGTTCCGCTACCCTTCGGTGAGCAGGGGTCAGCTCTAGCGGAATTGGATTTCCTGACAGAAGCCATAGTGGTTTAATTCAATTTTTCTGGTTTATCAAGTATACAGAGCAGGCTGCTATTACGTGCGCGCAATTTGTTCTAAATTTATAACAGCGGGCGGTTGCGTCAGGTTATCATAAGCTAAGTTAAAATACGTTGAAAGATATACAAATATGCTAATCCATGTCAAAATATGATATAAATCTCTTGAAATATGTTAAAATACGTTGGATATATTCAGATAGGCTAAACTACGT